TCCTTTGTGTTCCCTTGCATTCTTCTACTCATTCCCCTCTCCCGCTCTTGTGTTTTCATGTGTGGGCTCAGTCTCTGTCCTGTTTGCTCCTTCTGCCCTCTTGGACTTGCTGTTCCACATGTGGGCTCACTCCCACGCTCTCCCCTTCGCTGCCTCCCTCTCTCCCATCAGTGTGTTTATCTTCCCTCCCTTGCTCTCCACTCACACACTCTCCCCTGCTCCCTTCCTCTCCCTCACCAGACTCCTCTCACTTTTCCTCTCGTGCCAGCACTCACTTGCTCTCTTGCTCCCGCTCTCATGGTCTCTCTCTCGCTTGTGCTCTCTCTTGCTGGGCTCACCTGGTCCTTCACCCTCCCTCTCCTTCCCTTGCTTACTCTCTGTCTCTGTCTCAGTCTGGTTATCTCTGTCTCTCTTCCTCGCCGCGATCCTTCTCTTGCTCTTTCTTGCCCATGTGCATGCTCGTGTACCTTCTAATTCTCTTGCTCTCTCTTTTGTGCTCTCTCAATCATGCACCCCATGTGCTCTATTTCTCAATCTTATGCTCTTGCTTTCTTCCCTCCCTCTTCCCCTGCTCTTTCTCCTGCCCCACTCTCTCGCCTGCTCTCTCCCTGCTCCATACTCTTTTTTTCCCCCTCTCTCCCTCTCCAGGGATTGCTGATGTGATGGTGGCTTTTCTTTTGAGGTGCTGCTTGTGCTTTTTCCCATTTCTACATCCTCTAAGGTCCGGGTGGATCCCGGATCCCGCTTGTGGAGGGATGTTTTCCTACCGGGAACATGAAGAAGTCTTTGGTCATGTTGCTGTAGTACACAAGTTGCTGTTGCAGCTCGTTCTGGTACCTGTTACTGGAGCTCTCTGAGGGCTCAGAACCTGGCAGATACCACTGTGACTTGTTCTCTTGGTCTATTTGCAGGACAATCCATGGGTTGATCTACAATGCACTGAAGCTGTTCATGGAGATGAACCAAAAGCTCTTTGATGACTGCACGCAGCAATACAAGGCAGAGAAGCAGAAGTGAGTAAGAGGTTCTTGCCAAGGGACCTAAGCTGGTCCTGGAGTCTCCTTGAGATACAGTGGCTGTTGGTAGAAGCCAGCAAGCAGAGGAGAATTGGAAGGACTATGCAAATCACTGCAAAAAAGGATGATTCCTCAGAAATGAGTAGGTGTAGGGATGAGAAGTAAAATGCGGGATGAAGGTTAGATCAGGTAAAAATCTTTTCTGCAGAAGCAGGCAGCTGGGGAAGGAATAGCTGAGTTTGCTGGCTCGTGAGGAAATAAACTGCAATATGGAGGATATACAGTTTTGCAGAGCAGCTTATGCTCTGCCTCAAAAATATTTACCAGCATACCCTGGTGACCCCAGCAGAATTCCTGCCGCTTTGTAAGGATTCTTTGCTGAAGAGCTTTGCTACAGTAGGCACAATACATCTTTCAACACACAGGAGGCCTTCAGTTTTCCCGTAATAAAGGTGGAATAGACCCAGAGTTTCAAACAGAAAATGATGGAGATAAAATCTTAGCTCAGCAAGTGCCTGGACCATCATGATGCAAAAAGAAATAACTCTACTGTCTCTGCTCCCTTGCCTTCATTTTGATGATCATATGACTTGTCTCAGTGAGTTGCATCAAGCATGAAGGAAGTTCTTCACTTTCTTTCTGGGTCGTTTTTCTGCTGGCTTAGTGAACTGAAATACTGCATCCCGCATTCCTTGGTGAGCCAGGGCTGCCAAATGGGAGGAGGTGGCAAGAGCAGGACTTCCCTGTTGGCAGCAGGAAGCTGTTGGAAGTGTTCAGCTGTTTTGTGAAAGAGCAAGAAATAGCAAAGTTGAGAAGTGAATCAGAGCATGGAGATGGGTAACCTGCATAGGGAGGCGTTGCTGTATCTAAGTTGGCAGCAAGAATTTTTTTTTTTTTCCCCTTTCGAGGGCATTTACTAAGCCCACTTCTAGCTGTGCATGTGTGTCTAAGTCAGACTGATGGCACCATCTAGTAGGAGGTCTGAAAGGAGTTTCTCATTGGGAATCACTCCCCTGCCAACTGCTTACGCCTGTGCTGAGCTGGTGAGGGTGAGATTGTTCCCCAGGCTGTGGGGCTGACGTAGGATTGCTCTGGGATAACTCAACCACCCAGTTAGGTCTCTGAGAAGTGGATGTCTAGAGCTGTCCCAGGTTGTGCTCTACTTAAAAGATTATGATCTTTTTCTCTAGTACTTCTGCCTTTTAGGCCTTAGAAGAGGGTTGGCTTTCCTTTTGCTGGCTTAGCTAACCAAGTTTGATAAAACACTAGTTGAAAGCTTTTTGCATGGCTTTTTGCCCCAACAACTGACATAAGGGAGTGTTTATGGGCCTCTGTGCTAAGAGGGGAAGCAAGACTGACATTAGTACCTGCTCACCAGCTCTTTCTGGCTTGAGTAGAGTGAAAAGGGGGCCTGACATGAGCTTTGAGGATGGCAAAGGGGAGGAGACGAGGGCAGGCTGGGAAAAGGTGGAAAATTGTAGTCAAAGAGTAGGAAGGAGCAGCTGGTTGGAGCAAGGAGTCAGCTGGACTGAGAGGGATGTTCCTGTCAGTGGATAGAGGGAACAGGGTAGGGCAAGAGAACAATTTGGAGGAGAAGAGGTAGGAGACCATGAATTTGTTGGGCAAGAGCTCTGGGACTGGTTGGAGTGTAGGACAATGATGGAGGAGAAAAAAAAAAAAAAAAGAGGATGAACTTGGGGGGTTGGATTAAAAACCATCTCAAGGGTTTTCTAGAGCAACGTGCTTCAGTTCTTTGCTCAAGTCCACTGTGGAAATGTCCTCTCCCTCCACGTCTTTAAAACTTCAGCAATACATAAGCAAGTCTATGTGCACCTAACACTTTGACAGTATGTTTTAGAGTTTAATAAAATAAATACTTAATTGCTAAAATGGAGGGCAGTAGGAAAAAAAACACATGCCACAGACAGGAAAAAATGGTGTTTAGTGGTGTCCCTCTTGGGGAAGGTGACAGTCTCATAGCTAAGGAATCTGGCTTGGAGCTGAGGATGCTGTTTGTGGGAACCTTGACTAAATTGTTGTGATGTTGGACCCATCCTTAATGGTATGACATCCTGTTTTCTTCCAGGGTACCTCTTCCTTAATTGGTCAGACTGAGAAGAGCTTGAAAAGCAGCATCTTTAGTATAGACAAAACATAAATAAATAAAAGGAAGAGAAGATATATATTAAAACCTTTAAGAGGTCATCCCAAGGAGCCGCTAGAGACCTTGTGCTATGAACTAGAAAATAGCAGCAGCAGGTGCACAAAGCCAGTAAATGTAAAATGGGGAAAAGAAATGATCTCGTGGACACAACTAAGCTTTGACCAGCTGCCCAGAAAAGGTTTTAGTCATCACTTTAATTACTTGCCATGCCTGTGAACAACACATCAGCACTGGCCTGCAACCACTGCTGCTGTCGCTGCGTAGCTGGTAGAGCTGCACAATGAGGCCGGGCTCAGAGAGCCAGGCTGTTTCTCCCAGGTGTATGTGAATGGTCTCTGTTGTCCAGTGCAGATGGACTGACTGCCCCACAGTCACTAGTCACCCTGGAGTTTTTGAAGCTGTTTGGATGATCAGAGTCCTTTGGAAAATAGTACTGAGTTTGGGGCAGATGATTAGTGTCCTCTCCTGAATATGGTGACTGCCTGAATGGAAATCACTGGGGAGATGAATAATCCCTCTTTGAGGGGACAAATAATCCCTCTTCTGTGGAAGGTGCTAGGACCTTGAATGCTGCCCTTCAGTAAGTGTATTGTCAGTGTGCCCTGGGGCTCAGCATGGCCTCTGTGACACATCTCTATGGTAGCTGCCATCTCATCTCCTTCTGTGTCTTCTACAGCAGAAGGAAGGAAGAAAAGTTACCTCCCAATATAGTTCTTTCCCAAATGTCCTGCCAATATAGGGCTGTATGGCTTCATCTTGCTGCTTGTGCTGGGGTGAGGAATGAAGGAAGGGGATGGAGTGAACATAGCTTGGAAAGCAGGACCCAGAGGGACTTGATTAACTGCTCCCCTGGGCTTGGCACTCTGAGCGCTGCTGTTTGCAGTCTCCCTGGAGAACTAGAGTGCTCAAAAAAAAATCATGTGGATAAGTGACATTCCTTCAAATAGACCATAATGAAAATGTCCTAGCATAGGAGATAAAGCCACTCCATGAGTCATGAGGTGGGTAGGACCCTTCCTTTATGGTGGGATGTTGGACAGCTCTAATAATACAGTTGAGCCAGTCAACGTTACATTAATCGAACTAACAATGAAACTGTGTTTTGTTCTTTGAAAATACCTATTTGGCTGAAAATGATCATCAGAGATGTAAAACTTTCAACTTTTTAAAGGCATTTCTCGTGGTAACTCTGGGTTTTCTTTTTGTATGGTGAACTTTTACCATGTCAGAGACACGACAGGTTAGCAGCGACGAACCCAATGGTCCTCAAAGCACAGTGAGGAATGTAGAGCTTCCTATGCAGCATTGCTCAGGTAACCTGAAAGGAAAGAGGTTGTGTCAGAGAAACACATAGCAGAACAGACACTTGCTCCCTATATACGCAACCAGTAGTGCAAGGTAGTCCAGCTGAGCAAAACCAGCTGTGCTGTGGGCTTCTGTGGCAATAGATGTAATGCCAGAAGATGGATTCCACCTCGGAGGGCAGCGACTCTGGCAATACGAGGCACTTAGTGGGCAAACATCTCAATATGCACTTCCAGTGGCAAAACTGGAATAATGCATCCGTTTCTTTTTACCACCCATTAAAAAGGGTGCTGGAGCAGATAAAGAGCTAGAGGAGGTGAATGCTGAGCCTTGGTTGCAGTTCCTCACAGAGGCCTCCAGAGCTCTGTCAGAAAATGACGTATGTGGGTTTTGTTGGTGGTGGTTTTGTTTGTTTTTTAACAAAAAAAAAACAAGGCTTCTCTGATGGAGCAGCCCTAAATGCTTGAAGCTTGAATGCTTGGCAGTTTCATTCTCATTTCTAGCTGCTTTTCTTGCATTTTTTTTTCCAGAGAGTAAGAAGTGAGGTGATTACAGAGCATAAATGTTTCCTTAGCATGGACAAAAAGAGAGATGAGTAGCTGGGATGCAAGACAGGGAAACACAAAACAAATATCTGGACGATACCTTATTTACATCAGTGGTCATGGTATGCCAGGACTCTGGGGAGAACTATGCTGCCCTGGGCTTTGCAGGCAGTCCCACTGAATGCTCCCTTAAAGCCTTAAGTCTTGGATCTGTCATGGATTTTGCATCCAGGGGTTCAGGCAACTCTCTGGAGGGCTGTTATGGCCAGAAAGAGAAGGGAGGAACTGGAGGCACTGGAGCCCCATCTCTGTTAGATATGGCAGTTGGTACCTGCCTGAATACATGGTGTGTTGGGAAGGAATATTCCCATCTCTCTCTCCCTTCATTACTTAGAATTAGGGATCTGTTCAGGGTCCTGCCCCTGGGGAGGAATAA